AAAAAAAAAAAAAAGAAAGAACTACCTGGCACTCGCGCCCTGGGACCTCGCCTGGTCAGCTCTCTCCTCTGCGCCGACAGCAGCCACTGGGCCTGGGCAGCCTTCCCCTCAACGGGGAGGATGCACGTGTCCACAAGGACCAGCCGCCACCACCATGCTCACTACCGCTGTGCCCATGCTTGATCAGGACGTGCAGACCAGCATCCGGCTCCGCGGAGAGGCCCAGCCCTCAGTGCCGGGAGCTCCGGCAGGGCTGGCGCAGGGAGGCCGCGTGTCTGCCGATGCCGTCTGTGCCCCAGGTTTGACACCTGCCTGTCTCCTTCACAGACGGCATCTTTTTACAGCCGTGTTGGTATAAATTGTCACTTGCTTCATCATCTACCAAATGGCAAATGGTTTCAGCTGTGAAGCGGGCCAGCACGCGGGTCTGTCAGATTCCAAAGTGTGCTCTGAAAATAAATCACAGCTGCGGCGCACATGGGCGGCGGAACATGAGGAAATGAAAAAACACATTTCCATGATCTGCTGGCGTGACCCCGAGAGACAACTGCTGCGGTGTTTATTTCTCCGTGTGCGTCTCCGGTTTCCGTGGGCACAAGGCACCCCTTTCCTGGCTCCTCTGGGAGGAACACACGCCTGACTTTTTACCGTGGGTGTGCTCCTGAAGGCTGTGCGTCAACTGGATTTGTGACAAATGTCATAGCAGTTGAGATGTGTGAAGGCGAGTGGCCATCCCCTGGCACTGGGCAATGAACCCCACTGTCATGGAAAGCGGGTCCGTCTTGTCCCACGGAGCTGGTGTGGGCTTGCTTACTCTGGGGCTCCTGGGCGAGAGGCGAGCACGGAGACCTCGCTGCCGTTCGTGCTGCTCCTGGTCTGACCTCTGCCCTGAGCCCCAGCAGCCTGGGCTCTGCTCAGCACCAGCGCTCCGATTGCTGGTGCCGGCTCCCAGCAGAGCCTGCAGCACAGGCCACCCCGGCCAAGGCCAACCCCCGCCCCAAGCTCATCCACTGGGTGGGTCGAGAGGACGCGTTCTTCTGCGATCCTGTCTCTGGGCTGGGCCCACCGCACGTCCATCCTGCTCTCCTTGGCCAGTGCCTAAGCTACCAGCCACTCCGCCACCTTGTTCTGTGGACTCTTCACCCCGACTGAAGCCCCTGATCCCCTCCTGGTCTCCCCCAGGGTGCCCTCCAGAATGTTCACTCTGAAATAAGCCGACTCCTGCATCCCAGCCCCTTACAGAAACCCCCTCCACTCAACCCCTGCCTCGACAGAAACCAGCCTGCCCTCCTGCTTCCTGCCCACGTGGAAGGCCCACCCGCACCTCACATCGCCCTCGGCTCACCCTCCTCACTTCCAGTCACGCCCCCTCCCCCAGGGCAGGCAGCCACTCCCACCGCCGCACCTGGGAACTTGCAGTCATGTCACCTGCAACTGCTCCCTTTGGAATT